CCCCAAAACCCCAAAACCCCAAAACCCCGCATTGCAAATTTAAGGAAAATAGGAGAAATAGATCATAAATTAGATTAGTATTAATAAAATTAATATGAACACATAGTAGAACTAACTTTAGCCTAAGAGCTAGGCATTCCACCCAAGTAACAAGAAGATTTCAAATACTAATATGGGAATGTAAAATTAGTCGCCTGATAGAGGGAATTACAATAATGGAGGGGCTGTGAATAAATTGGTTGAGACTTTAATGCAGGAGAAGGAGATAGACAGGATGATTATCCTGAATTACTAGACTGAATTGTGTGATAAGTCAAGCAATATATAGCAGTGTCCAGATAGTGATTCATGCGTCAAGGCTCATCTTGAGAACCAATCTTAAAAGAGAAGATACCCTCTCACATTCGATAACAGTCAACTAAGATATATCGCAGCATTATGTCCTGTAGTTGAATAGTGCCAGAGGAAAGAAAATTGCTCACTCGCTCACTCGACAGAAGAAATAAAGTATCATCCGACATAGTATAAAACAGAATTATGCTCTACTGGATAAAATTGCAGCCTAAAACTCCAGTGCTCTTTTGCGCACTCACCCTCTGACTTAAGAAACGTCACAAACTACTTCATCATCGCATCTCAGTCTCAAAGCTCTACTAATTTCTCATCGAATTCTATTCTCAACAGTAACATGAGTGGAAGTGCATCATTAGGAGTAAATAATAATTATTAAGGGTCAGGAATATATGGCGAAAACAACCCAAATAAAATTGGATTATCCCCAAGCACCTCTTTCAATAATCAATTCGGGAGCAGTAATAATTTAGGAGAGATGATTGGTAAAAGTAAATCAGGTATATTTCCACCAAGTATCTTGCAAGGTGAATCTATGAGGGTTAATGATGATGTCATCACGTATATAGATTTGTACAACTTCAAGACATAATAATGTAAGGTACCTTATCAGCATAATCCCAAAAAGTGCTTCTTCTATCATGAAGCTAAAAAGGATAGAAGAAGACCTCTTGGTACATACACAAGTGAGATTTGTCCTTACGTGATTAATAGTGCGACACATTTTGAATGCTAAATGGGCGATAGCTGTGCAAGGTCCCACAACAGAGTCGAGGAATTCTACCACCCAGAAAAGTACAAGGTGAAGTTTTGCTCTTCATATCCTGACAAAGTAGAATCTTGTGACTACGGAGACATGTGCGCCTTTGCTCATTCCGAAGATGAAGTCACCGTGGATTTATTAGACAAATTTGAGAAGAACACCGATTTTTACATGTTTCACTTTAAAACTGTCTGGTGCCCTTACTCAGATACTAATCACCCTAGAGATGCTTGTGTTTATGCGCACAATTGGTAGGATTTCAGAAGAAAGCCTCATGTTTTCGATTATGAGAAGGAACAATGTCCTTAATGGGAAACCAAGAATTTCATTCAGACTTATGCTGATGGATGCAAGCATGAATACCGATGCAAATTTTCTCATGGCTGGAAAGAACAAGAATACCATCCACTTAACTATAAAATGCATGCTTGCAGATAAATCGAGTAATGCTAAAAACCACATTGCCCCTACTATCATTCTGAATAAGACAGAAGATAGCCAATCAATCAGTTTTTTAAGATATTTCCCAAGAATAGAGGTACAGTGGTATAACAAACACAAATCTATTAACCAATATTTTTGAATCTTTTATTCAACGTTCCAAGCAGGACATGCCAAACTTATATTGACCAATTGACTGGTCAGCAATAACAATTGTTTGTTACCTAATCAATTTATGGTTGTGGGCCTTAAAGTATTCCGATTATAGATCCTAAAGTAGTGATGTCATTTTAACAATCTCAGATGATGAAAAACTAAGCTACGACAACAACTTCTCATCACATCCATTCATAAATAATGGCATAATAAGAACTGGCAAATTCTATGAAATCTTAAAGACTTCCTGTGAGTTAGTCCAACCCAAATTACTTCAGCCAGTAACTTATGTAAAATTAAGTGAATGGGTTTTAATCATAAGCAGCAGCGTAGGCTTTCTAGCATCAGTAATAACTTGCTGCAATAGCTAGAGTGCAATCTCACAATACTATATAACAGCAGTAACAATAGCAAGCCTCTTAATTAAAAAAGGTATCATCGACACTTTCTACTTAATCAGCAGAGTTCAAGAGATTCAATAATCCGATACTAAATCAGAATCTGATTTACTAGTAGCAGCAATAATAAGCTTATCAAAATGAAGGAATTCTCCAGCCTCCTCCAGGGTTTGAAGATATTCAAAATCAACAGCAATAAATGGCTAACAGATTCACTGCATCCTAGAGTGTTCCAAACTTCGCATAATTTATGGGTGAAAACTCTGATTTGAATCTGAATATTGGCCATCAAGAACATTTGTATAACTAGCAGACCCCAACAGGAATACACAATCTCAATGAATTCAATATGAAAAACAACATGTACTAAATGCAGTAACAGTAGTAGCTGCATCTACAATAAAACCAGAATTAAAACTAGTTCAACAATATGCAAGGCTCTCTAACAAATGCTCACTCTATGCCTAACATGCTGAATCAACAGAATATGGCACCTAGTAACTATTTGAAGTAATAAAGCTAATTTGCAAATCAATATCAAATCAAGAACTAGTCTAATGTCCCATCATAATTCTTCCAGGAGCAATAGAGATAAATGGCATCTTAATAAATGATGAATCAGCCGTTCTAATATAAGCAGACTTCTTAGCAATAAAATGAGAAATAGTCTTCTGGACCACAGTGGGGACCTGGATCAAGCAGCTAGCTCTCAAATAACTAAGGGGTTGTCCAGAATCAAAATTCAGTATTTAACAATGGAGTATTTGGTTCCTTCCCTATAGGTGAAGAACCCTAATACAGACAAAGACCATCGGAAGATGAGAGCAAATTAATAATTGATGTGAACTCCCCTCTATCTGATGATGAAGGAGAAGACGATGATGATGACTTCCAAAACATTAAGTTCATCATTGGCAAAAATAAAAAGCCTAGCCAGAAGACGCACAGGAAAGACCATAGCATCAACTAAACTCAGAGTTAGAGTGAAATCGAGAACTTCCTTCTATAAAATAACCTGTCTCATCTGAATTAATTCGTGCAATCTCTTAATCTTAACAATCTTCAACAACTTAAGACATTTAAACCTGATGACATCAAACTTTACCTGGGCCCTGACTAAGTCGACGCAAGCACCAACCTAATAAAAGCTTTAGAAAAGTTGAACATTGAAGATTGAAAGGTAAACTATGGTGTCTTAAATAGATAATTTAAGACAGAAAAGCATGAAGATAGTGAAACTAATAAAAATAACTTCAATTTATATAATTTCTATTTACTGGTATTAAAATCTAAGACTCCTATTCATCTTTTTAAAATTCTTCCCAATTATCACTGATGGGGTTTTGGGGTTTTGGGGTTTTGGGG